CGGGGCGGGGCGGGGTGCGGGCTCGCCGGGGCCTGGTTCCTGCGCGGTCTCTTGTCAGGGGCTGCCACCAAAGGGACTGGTGACGGGCAGCCGCACGATGGCTTTTCTGTCAGCGATGCACCTTCCCTGCAGGCCAGCGAGAGGCGTGGGGGGGTGAGGATGCTGTGACTGAGGCAGCCAAAGGGATGATATTCCTGTGTCTTTTCCTTTGCAGATTAAAATAATTAGGAGGGTGTCCTTGGAGCTGACGGCGGAGCAGGATCTTGTCCAGATCTACCAATATAAGATCCAGGACAAGAATGTCACCTTTTTTGCTCGAGGGCTGTCAGCCGCAGTCCTGTGATGCTGCGATACGGCGTAGCGCTGGGAGAGCAACACAGAGCAAGGCCGGCGAGGCTGGTGGTACCTCTAGACCAGCCGTGCCACCAAACCAGCCTGGCTGCGGCACCAGCGCCTTCCAGGAGCAGCGCAGCAAACTGACCCAGGAGGGAGGCTTAAATGTGTGTCGAACTGCGTGCCAACGAGGGGATCGGCCTGCCCGGAGCTTGCTGCGTCCTTTTGTCCTCCCACCCCATTCCCAACATACGCAGGCCAAGAGGAAGAGCAAAAACTTGCAAGAATGGCCCTTAGAGCGTGTAAATACAAGCAGGGGAGATGCCCCGAGGGCTGGGCGTGCCTCACCTTTTCCGGTGCGTTATGGCACCTCTGGCTGGCATTTAACGAGATGACGCAGCGGGCGGAGGCAGGGATGGTCTAGGAGCGTGTTGCAATCCTTACCTTTCTCCCAGCTCTGGCACAGGAGAGATTTACTCAACTCCCAGCTTTCACACAATTAAAAAAAATCTATAGCTATACGTACAGTCCCTCACCTTGCTGCTGTAAGACCTAAAGGCTGCCTTGCTTGGTTGATCCCTTGCTTTGTTTTGTTACTTTCCCTCTTTTCACATGAAACCCCCGTGCCCGTGTGTCCGTTTAGCCTGCGCCTTCCCGAGTTCATCCTTGGCTTTGGGCGACGGACATACGCTTGTACACGAGCCTGTGTCTCAGCCACTGCCTCCTGATCACAAATCATTACTAGCACTTACATCACCTGCCTGCATTAAAGCATTATTGGGGGCTACTAATCACTAATTTTAATTAGATAAGGGTACAGGCAGTAAGTAACCATGGATCTCCGTATGGGAAGCGCACAGGCAGGCAGCTGAATCTGGAGTTCGGTGTGCCGGCTGTACAGGAACCCTCAGGCTGGTGTCCGCTGTGCCTTGCTGGTGTAAAACACATTTCTCGGCCACCAGCCGTGCAAGCGGCAGAGCCCAGTGCCGCTCCTGCTGGCCCAGCGTGGTGGCGGCAGTGCCCGGGGGACAGTGCCCGGTCACAACCTGCAGAGGGAGGATGAGATGACCAACAGGTCCTGGGGAAGGGAGCTGCTGGCTCCGGTCGCTGCAGACACTATGGCCGCACCTGTAATGGGCATGTAATGGTGTATAATTGAAGTAATACTTGTGTGATTAGCTTCCCCTGGGAGAGATCCCAAACCATCCCTGCTCCAGGGTTGCGCCTCCCTCCTCCGAAACCAGCAGGGTGACTGTGTGACATTGCTGGTGGCTTTTACCCGGTTCTTTCTGCACTCGGCCGATGCCTGCACCCAAGCAACAAACCAGAGGCTGCCTTGGGCTCGGAGTCAGCGCGTCCCCAGGGTGTGCAGGCCAGGCACCATGTGGGGAGCACCCCAACCCCCGGTGTTCCCATGCAGGGGGACATTTCCCCGGGATCCAAACCAGCTGCCCTTACCCTGCGCTGCACAACGCTTTTGTTGCACCCATAACCAGTGATTGTGGCAGGGAGGTGGTGAGGGCTCGGGCAGACAGCATCTGGGAGATGCCTCCTGGAGAAAGGGAGGTGAAACCTGCAGTGGCTCCCGGTTCACAGCGAGGACCGAGCCGAGCATTTCCTCTATCCCTGCCTGAGATCCAGAGTTGGCATCTGCCACCAGGACGTGAACGCCAGAGGCCGATCTGGCAGCTCTGCTGAGCCAAGGCCACCGGCACGGCCACGACCAAACCGAGACCTTGCTCTGGAGCTGACGCTGCGGGAAGGCAGTGCAGAGAGCGGAGATTAGGAGGGATGCGACTGATGGCAGAACAGGCCGACCTTGTGCAGGGTCGGCCAACATCTGCGTGCTCGGGGCCACTGCTACGTGCAGCTCTTTGTATGTGAGCCAGAGCTTGTGCAACACTGCATCTCAACCGATAAAGCAGGTGGGTCTTGGCATGAGCTTTGCGCTCTCTCTGGTCTTCGTCCCCTTGACCTCGATGGGAGCAGCCCGGGGCCTTGGTCAAGCAGGACCGGGGAAGGGTCCCCCAAGGCTGGGACCGGTGGGACAGGGCTGCAGGTCACCTGGGAGCAGGTGGGATGTGATGGTCTCAGGCAGGGCTGCCAGCAGTGGGGACTGTCACGAAGCGTCAGAGCCCGACGGCTACAAGGCCCCGCGAAAGGCTGTTTTGTGGGGGGTGCTCAGCCCCAGGAGATGAACGAGCAGGAGCTGCCTCTCCCCTGTCCTATTTCTGCTCCTTCCCTGCTTCTCACCCAGGTTTCCCACTAAGATGTCTTCTCAGGGCTGCTCTCGGATCCCGCTTCTTTCCTCACGGGGCTCCCCCAGGATTTCGGGTGCAATGCTTGGCAGCCGGGAGCTGTGCCAGGGGTAACTGCCGGCACGGGGCTGGCTGGGGCA